GCCTCGGCGTCCCTGCGGGGGGGGGCACAGGGCGGAGTGACCGTGCACACAGCACCCCGGGGGTCATGTGCGAGGAGCAGAAGACCGAGGACGTCGGCTTCCCTGGAGCTGCAGTTTGAGGACGTTCTGCCCTGCCACGTGGGTGCTGGGCACCGAATCTGAGTCCTCCGCGTGAGCGGCCAGTGCTGTAAGCCGCCGCGGAGTCATCTCTGCCGACTCGGAACAGGGAAGGGAAATGTAGGTCCCGGGCCTCGAACCCCGGACCGCCGCCTCAGACCCAAGCGCTTGCGTGGTGGGTGAGTGGTACTAAATTTAGCAAAACTAAGTACTTCCTTTGTGAGTTTTGCTTTATGTGGAGGAGTGTCTCACCTGCACGTGTGTAACGTGCACTGCATGCATGTAAGTACAGCGAGTGTATGTAACGCGCACCACATGCTTGAAAACGTCACTGCCTGTACTTGAGTGCATGTATGTAAATGCAGGTGTGCTCTGTCTTCGACTCGGTACTGGGTACTCGGTACTCATTTCTCTCATGTCCGCGTTGACAAATCTTTAGAGAGAGAAGTCAGAGTTGGAGGCCAGGTCAGGCGGGGCGGGGCCCCTGGGTGCTGGGCAGGGGGACCCTGCGCTTACCGGTTCTCTCTCCTGGGAGCTTCCCTGTGGGAGGGGTGAAAAGAGGTAAATGGAGGTATTTGTAGTGAGCACCGAAACCACCCAGGAGTTGGCGGTGCTTACGACCTGGCTTTGGATGTGAAGTTGGTACCAGAAGGTGCTCGGTGCTAAGTTGAATCGCCTCTCCGGGTTTTCCCACCGGATGACGGTCCCCGAATCTTCGTGGGCGACCGTCAGGTTTTCAGGAGGATTGTACTTTTCTACACGAATGGGACGGGGGTGAGGACCTGGGTCCGAGTACCCCTCCCCCCGCCCATCCTGGGGTTCGACCAAAAATTGAGTGATCCTCAGCACCCCAGGGGTGCTTCCCACCCTGTCCAGCTTCTGCAGCTGAACGTGCTTGGGGACTCGGTACTGGTACCGAGCATCACGGCGGAAAGGGGAGCAAAGTCCACGAAGGCCACGGCGTCTGTGCGACTGGTCCCGTCTACCAGGAACACGTAGTCGTCCGTGGTCCGCGGCGCCCCGAGCTCCGGGAAGTGGCAGCCGAGGCGGCCGGGGAGGTACTGAGCGCATTCCTGCGCCTCGGCGTCCCTGCGGGAGGGGCACAGGGCGGAGTGACCGTGCACACAGCACCCCGGGGGTCATGTGCGAGGAGCAGAAGACCGAGGACGTCGGCTTCCCTGGAGCTGCAGTTTGAGGACGTTCTGCCCTGCCACGTGGGTGCTGGGCACCGAATCTGAGTCCTCCGCGTGAGCGGCCAGTGCTGTAAGCCGCCGCGGAGTCATCTCTGCCGACTCGGAACAGGGAAGGGAATTGTAGGTCCCGAGCCTCGAACCCCGGACCGCCGCCTCAGACCCAAGCGCTTGCGTGGTGGGTGAGTGGTACTAAATTTAGCAAAACTAAGTACTTCCTTTGTGAGTTTTGCTTTATGTGGAGGAGTGTCTCACCTGCACGTGTGTAACGTGCACTGCATGCATGTAAGTACACCGAGTGTATGTAACGTGCACCATATGCTTGAAAACGTCACTGCCTGTACTTGAGTGCATGTATGTAAATGCACCGCTTGCGTGGTGGGTGAGTGGTACTAAATTTAGCAAAACTAAGTACTTCCTTTGTGAGTTTTGCTTTATGTGGAGGAGTGTCTCACCTGCACGTGTGTAACGTGCACTGCATGCATGTAAGTACACCGAGTGTATGTAACGTGCACCATATGCTTGAAAACGTCACTGCCTGTACTTGAGTGCATGTATGTAAATGCACTGCGTGTAAGGAAACTGCATTCCTGTAACGGCACTGCATGCATGGAAAGTGCACTACATATATGTAAAGGACACTGCATAAATGTGTCACTGCATGCATGTAAAGCACACTGGCATGCATGACAGCACAGCACATACATGTAACCGCACTGCATATACGTAAAGTGACCACATGTATGTAAGTGCAACGCATAAATGTAAGTTCACTGCATGCGTGTAATCGTCACTGCATACAATAAACGGTACTGCATGCATGTAAGTGTATTCCGTGTATGCAAAGTGCACGGCATGCATGTAAGCAGTGGAAAGCACGCTGTACGCATGCAAACCGCACCATGTATATGTAACTGTATTTCGTGTAAGGTGTGCTGCATGTATGTAAAGTATCGCGTGTGTGGAAAGTGCACGGCATGGGTATACGTGCACTGCATGTATGTAAAGTGCACCTGTGTCCTGCAGTGCCCGTGGACGGCCGTCATGTTCCGCTTCCAACATGTTCGTGTTGGTCAAATCCGGTGAAGCGTCTCCGCCGTCTGGAACATTGCTCTTTTGAAAAGTGTGTGGAGGCCGCGCGTGGACGGACGTGGGGAGTCCCGCCCTGCGTGTGACGTCCTACTGTGCGCAGCACCCCTCCCTAGGCGGCAGGCCCCGACGCGCGCGGAACCAGACACGGCGCTGCCGCTAAGACACGCTCGGCTGCACTGCGCGTGTCCGTGACCAGCGGGGGACATTCCCGCCTGGATCCGCCGATGGCGGACCGGAAACGTGACCCAAAGAGCCACGGCCTCGGTTAAACTGCTTTCCGTCGGGTTGTTTCATGACAGCCGGGGACACCGAGCCCGCGTCCTACCTGGACAACCAAGCACACAGGCGGTACTGGACGTCCACGGGCGCCGCGGGGCCCGGCGCCCACGTGCAGTTCATGAACCGGATGTCGTAGATGACGCAGGAGAAGTTCACGGCCCCGGACCCTTCCTTCCCTGGAAGACACACGACAGCGTCGCAGCCGGGACTGTGGGAGTACCGAGTCAGCAGCACCGGGGACGTGGTGCTCACCTGAGTTGTGGAAGAAGAGGACTTCCTCGAACGCTCTGCCGTCCTCGGTCTCGCCGCCCACCGTCAGCACCGCGCCTCCGTGGAACCGCGCGTTCGGAAACCAGCAGAGCCACGAGCCGCCGCGGAGCTGGAGGGTCAAGTCGGACACGGCACCGTGGGCTTCACTCCGTGTGTCCGTGTGCGTGTGTGAGCATGTGTGCGTGTGCCTGCGTGTCACCAGTGAAATCCTATCACGTTACCCGTCACATCACCATGACATCATCACCGTCATCACCAGCATCATTACATCATCATCACCATCGCCATGACATCATCACCATCATCACCACCATCATTACATCATCACCACCATCGCCATGACATCGTCGTCACCGTCACATCATCATCACATCACCACCACCATCATCGTTATCATCATCATCATCAACACCGTCGTCCCCGCATCCATGCACATATGTGTGTGTCATGGATTCCAGAACCTTCTTCCCAGCACATGCCATTGGTCCGCGAGCCCACAGGCTGCACACTGTGTGTGGGTTTGTGGACACAGACCAGCCGGCAGCTGTGCAGACGTAGATGGCGGTGCTCCTCACAACCAGGGTGGCTCAGCTCTGAGAGCAGTGCTCGTGCTTGGTGGTTACAGGGAGTGCTTGTGCGGGGGGAATAGTGTTTGTGCTTGGTTGGGTACGGGGTGGGGAGTGCTTGTGCTTGGTGTGGTCCAGCCCAGGAGGACGGCCCCACAGTGACCCCCGCCGGCCGTGGGCAGTGACCACAGGTCCAGCCCAGAAACAGGAAGCAGAGGCTGTGACAGCAGATCACTAACAGCCCTGGACGCCATCCTCCAGCCCAGCGTGCACACGGCACCACAAACCTGTGCACACGGCACCACAGCATGAAGAGCTAGTCCTAGGTCATTATGGGATGGAGAGATGGTTCTGGGTCATTATGGGATGGAGACGTGGTCAGGGTCATTATGGGATGGAGACGTGGTCAGGGTCATTATGGGATGGAGACGTGGTCAGGGTCATTATGGGATGGAGACGTGGTCAGGGTCATTATGGGATGGAGACGTGGTCAGGGTCATTATGGGATGGAGACGTGGTCAGGGTCATTATGGGATGGAGACGTGGTCAGGGTCATTATGGGATGGAGACGTGGTCAGGGTCATTATGGGATGGAGACGTGGTCAGGGTCATTATGGGATGGAGACGTGGTCAGGGTCATTATGGGATGGAGACGTGGTCAGGGTCATTATGGGATGGAGACGTGGTCAGGGTCATTATGGGATGGAGACGTGGTCAGGGTCATTATGGGATGGAGACGTGGTCAGGGTCATTATGGGATGGAGACGTGGTCAGGGTCATTATGGGATGGAGACGTGGTCAGGGTCATTATGGGATGGAGACGTGGTCAGGGTCATTATGGGATGGAGACGTGGTCAGGGTCATTATGGGATGGAGACGTGGTCAGGGTCATTATGGGATGGAGACGTGGTCAGGGTCATTATGGGATGGAGACGTGGTCAGGGTCATTATGGGATGGAGACGTGGTCAGGGGACGGGGTGGGACGGCGGGGACCTTTTGTCCTGAAAGGAATTTCTCAGAGTTCTAAGAAACTTTCCCAGGGTCCCCACAGCTTGTCAGGACGACTGACAGCTGTCGGGACGATTCTGAGCCCCAGACACGGAAGGCTGGCGCTGGGCAGGACACACAGTGAGCAGGACAACGTCCACGTGCACATCCGTGTCCTGGAACCTTCAGCTCAGGACACGACCCTAAAGACGACGTCGCGCCTCTTTCCCGTCCTCATGACGTCTTTTCCATTAATTTGGGCGTCTTTACGTGACTCCCTGACGCCAGGTGGCTGAACACGGCTTCTTGGGACAGAGCGAGAACCACGTTGGTCCACATGCATGTGCGCACACGTTCATGTGTGTGAGGATGCGTGTGGTGTACGTGGGACGTTTTTCCCTACGTCTCTCCGTGGTGTTTCAGACACAGGGTGTCTTTAAATGTGGAGCTCACACCCCCCCCTTTCTGTCCCTCGAGGCCTGGGATCCCAGGCTCAGTCTTCCCTCCGAGCTCCTTACAGGAGTACTGGGTTCTGAACTCAGTCCAGTCCTGCTGGTTCAGGAAGCCCAGGATAACCGTGACGTCAGGGACACAGGTCCATGACGGACCGTCTACACCGCGGTGTCCCGTGGGCGTGGTGTGCGTTTCTGCATAAAGTGAGTGGATGTGGGAAACCTTGTGCGGCGTGGGATATCGTACTGTGCACAGCACTGTCTCCTTGGCATGGGAGGATGTGTTAAGGTAGGGGATGTGGGAAAGCCCGCCCACTGTGTGAAACCCTGCCCAGTGTGGGAAATAGTACTCTGCACAGCACCATTCCCCAGCCATGGGGACGAAGTGCTGATTAAGGAAACTCTTGTGCGAAACCCCGCCCGCTATGGGAAATAGTACTGTGCACAGTACCATTCCTCAGGTATCGGAAGGAAGTGTTGATTAACTCGGTCCCTTTCATAACCTCACTCTGGGAGATACCAGACACTGAGTAGGAACCACGGAAACCAGGTCAAGAACTTCCGGCCACGCCCGGGTACTTACCAGAGGCTCAGTGACCGTGGAGGGGTCCACGCGGGTGGTGACGTTGCATGTGTGACGCGTGACGTGGGTCTCGTAATTCCACGTCAGCGTTTTCCTCCGGACGTCGAGCGTCAGGTTCACGACCGGCGAGTCTCCACCTCGGGCTGCAACGTCAGCACAGGGCGGACTCGCTGTCACCGGGTCACGGAAGCGCCCAGCCCGACCTCTGCCTGAGTGCAGGCCTGTGAGTGAATGTGTTTAAGTACATGTAAGTGCACGTACGTAAGTACAAGCGTGTAAGTGCATTGTGCAAGTGCATGTGTTTATGTACATGTAAGTGCATGTATATAAGTCCGTACGTTTAAGTGCATGTGTGCAAGCTCACGTTTGTAACATATGTAATCCTTTATTCATTGTTTTTATTTGATATGTGTGAATGTACTGCTTGCATGCATGTAAGTGTATGTATGCAATATTTTATTATCTTATATACATACATGTATGCCACCTCCATGTATTAACTACATGTATGTAACATCGTTTTTTATTTATGTGTGTGAGCGTACTGTCTGCATGCATGTAAGTGCACGCAAGTAATATTTTATTATTTTATTGTATGTGTACATGTGTATCACCTCCACGTATGTAATATTATTTTATGAGCATACTGCCTGCATGTATGTAAATGCTGTATGCCCCATTTTATTTATTATTTCTATGTACACATATACTGCCTCCATGTATGTAAGTGCACATATGTAATTTTATTATCCTGTGAGTGTACCGCTTACACGTGTGTACCTGCACGTATGCGATATTTTTATTTTATGTGTACATGTACACCACCTCCATGTGTCCGATGTTTTCTTAATTTATTCTATGTGCACGCGAGTTGCTCCACGTAATGTGAGTGCTCCTGTGTCAAGCAATGCCCTTGGAGGTCAGAAGAGGGTGTCATATTCCTGGAGCTGAGACGAGTGTCTGCTGCGATGTGGGTGCTGGGGACTGGGTCATCTGCAGGAGCACCCAGTGCTATAAGCACTGAGCCGCCTCGAGCCCGGTGCTGGTCAACCCAGCCCAGCCCGGGGTCCCGGGCAGAGTCTCCCCGGGTACTGAGACTCGAACTACAAACCTGCGCAAAGCGCCCCTCAGTGTGAGTCGTTCCGGCCTCACCACCCAGTGCCCAGCACCCTGTGTCGATTCTACTACCACAATGACTCAGTCATTAAACACCTCCCTGGACTTCCGTCTCTGTGGAGGGTTTTTCAGGCAGTGAAAGGATGTTCTCCCCCTCCAGAGGAGTCCCCGACAGCATGAACCTACACACTGGGGGGGGTACTTAGTGTCAGTATTTTGCATCAGTACTTACCCAGGTGCTGGTCTCCTCCACAGGATGTGCCAATCAGAAGGAACAGGAGGAAGAGGAACTCCAGCAGGGCCACAGCGTGGAGCTGGACCTGGGGATGCAACAGACCAAGACCAGGGTCAGGACCTGCAGGATTCAGTGCTAAGCACCACATGACTAGGGATAGGGGGAGGGAGGAGACGAATGGGAGGATGAGCCTTGAGCACACAGTGGGGACGCAGACAGTAACAGGGGCTGTCAGGGTTCCATTCCTTTTTCACGGCTGTATAATATTCCCTCCGTGACCAAGATTCCTTTTTTAAAAAAATTCTTTTCATCTGACATGTTCATGCACTGATGACGTCATCTCTGTGTGATATTATGGGATGCCTTCAGATGATGTCGAACATCCCAGACTTTCACATCCTGGGCTCAGTTCCTTACTATAGGATTCCTTCCTTGAACCCGTCATGTATCTGTGTCGTGTCCTGTCCCCCCGCACCCCCTGCAGGACTTGCTCCCAGCGTGTGCAAACTCTGGACCCAACACCCTTCCAGCACCCCTGGGGAACTCAGTTATCTTACAGCACCTCTGCACAAACCGTACTGAAAAGTCCCCAGTCCACCACTCACGTCAGCGCTGACTCCGCTCCAGGTTCACAGCACCCCCCCACACATGCTGCCCTGGGGTGCTAGGAACGTCTGGGCTAAGTCCTCCACAAGGGGATTTACCTGGGGGCCCCGGTTCTGGATCTTCCTGAGGGTCTGAAGCACTGCCATGTCGCCTGTGCTGAGTCCCTGAATCAGCTGACCCGCCAACACCGCCCCCCCTGCCCCCCGCTGGTCATGCCAGAATCAGGATGATTCCCCGGGTGATAAGGACCAAGTCCAGGAACCGCCCCAAGCTGGCTGCGTTGCTAGGGCTTCCCTCCCACTTCCCACGGACAGCATTTTCAGCAAGATGATCTTTCGCAAGGTTATCAGCACCCAGACCGGAAGTTCCCCCAGCGGAGAGCTCTCATCCCCCCCTGCAGCCTGCACTTCCGGTCTTGGCAGCCACCGAGGTCCCCAGCACTGCCTCATGCACAGTGCCAGCATCTCAGGCTCCCTCAGCGGTTGCCAGGTCCCCGGGGCGGGGCGCACATTCCGTCCAGTACATTCGTCCCCCCCCCACATGATGGTGGTGACGTCACAGGAAGGCGGGGACCAGGACTTCGCTGTTCCTCAGGGAGGGAACGGAGGTCAGAGATACGGGTTGGATTCCCCGGAACTGGACACTCTGGAGGTTGTGCGCCGTCACTTGGGTGCTGGGAACTGAACTTGAGTACCTGGCCAGCACAGCCGGTGCTCCGAACCCTGAGGCGAGTCCCCAGCCACGGCCCAGACTTCCAGGAGGTTGTGCCCCAGTGAATCATCGTAATCTGAATTGTCATGAGCATGTCTGACCTTCTGTGATGCCTATGAGGTCACCTGGGACCAGGGCCTGTGACATCATCTGGAACCAGGGTCTATGACGTCACTGGGACCAAGATCTATGATGTTGTCTAGAACCAGGTTATGTGACATCACTCGGCACGAGGGGGGGGGGTCCATGACACCACGTGGAAACAGGGCCTATGACGTCATTTGGGGCAGGGACATCGTCTGGAACCAGGGCTTATGGCGTCATTAGTGAGCAGGGTTATGATATCAGCTTAGCATCAGGACCTATGATATCGCCTGGGACCAGGGCCTGTGACGTCACCTGGGACCAGGGAGTCTGCCAGCTGGGCTGAGTGCAGGGTCTTGAGCTCGACCACCCTGGACGCAGCTTCCCGGTGTTGCCCCGAAGCAGGCGTGCGGCGTGTACACGTCACCAGTGTATGGCGTGTACACGTCACCAGTCGCATGAGGACGGCCACGGCAGCCCACGGAGAGGGCGGTGTGCAAAACGGACCCGAGCTCTGGGCGTGCCACAGATGACGTCACGCTTGGTACGTGTAGCTGAGGATTTCCCAGAATGCACCTGGGTGGAGCTGTGACCGACCCCAGAACACATCAGCCTCCAGAAAGCCAGTGTACACGCGGGTGTTAAGTTACTTTTTAATGCGCATGGCCCAACCCTGTGGTGCACGCCCGCCTCAGGTCCTGACTTCCTCTACGGACGTGAACTCCTCGGGCTCAGCCTTCTGCACACTGGGCTCGAAGTTGCTCAGTGTCTGTGGGAAGAGAAGCCGGGTCAGGGGCGGCGCCCTAGTCAGTACTGTGCACAGCACCCTTCCCTAGGTATCAGGAGGACGTGCTGGTTGGCTTTAGCTGTCAATGGATACAGCCTGGATTCAGTACTGTGCACAGCACTATCTGCACACCAGATGACTCTCCTGTGATGAGAAGACGACTGTGCTCCATCCCCCCATCACCACGCTTCACTTGTTGCTCCTCGCGCTGTGCACAACCCAGCACCGAGCACCCAGCCTCACCTGCGGGTCAGCCGCGTCGCTATCGGTAACTTTGTCCTTGATCTGGGGGATTGGGGGGAACAGGCTTCTCGCGTGGACGACCCTGGGGGTGACTTTCAGTAAGGTTGGTGTGGAGAGAGGTCTCAGGGGTGCTGAAACTGAGTCCCTGTCCTGACCTCGGCACAACCGTTCGGTGCATTACCGACCCTGCTCCACCCCCTCATACTGGTCGGGGCGGTGCTCGGTACCCCCTCATGCCTGGTGGGGTGATGTTCGTGTGTGGTGCTCGGTACCTCTTACAGGCGAAGCCCAGGCCCAGGGCACAGAACACGGTCAGCAGCACCACGGCGACGTAGACGTACAGCAGCGGGAACCTGCTTTCCCCGGAGCCTGTGGGCATGACGTCATCCGTGACGCGGAGGTCTAGCCGCCACGTCACACACAGCGGAAACTTAAGCTTTAACTAATTAATCGACTTTAGCTAATTAATCAATCAGCCCTTTAACTAAGTAGCTGATTAATTAGTCCTTTAACTATTTAGCGCTTTAGTCTTTCAACTAGTTAATTAATTGTCCTTTAAGTAATACATAGAGTAATTAGTTACTACATTAGCCCTTCAGCTAACGAATTAATCAAGTAGCTCCTTAGGTAATAAGCTAATTAACTAATTAGCCCTTTAGCTACTTCATTAATCAATTATCTCTTTAATTCAGTAACGAATGAATTAAGTTATCCCTTTGACAAATTATTTAATTAGCCCTATTAGTAACTAATCAATTAACCAATTAAGTAATTAGATTTTAACTAAGCCATTCATTAGCCCTGCAACTAATTAGCCCTTTAACTAATTAATTAACCCTTTAATTAACTAGTTAATTACTCCTTTAACTAGCCAATTTATCAATTAGGCCGTGAACTAATTAGGTAATTAACAATCAAGCCTTAACTAGTTCACTAACGCTGTAACTAATTGACTCGCCCATTAATTAACCAATCAATTAATTAACAGATTTATTACTGATGTAATCAATTCCCGTTCCCAGCGCTCAAGGCCGTGTGCAAACCCCGGGCTCCAGTTCCTCTCTGGGCTTTGGAGAGACGACTCAGCCCAGCACTCGGAGAGGATCCAGTTCAGTTCCCAGCACCCACAGGCGTGCTTACACAGGTGCAGAGAAAACACACAGGGCACGTCACGCGTCGGCTCACCGAACGTCACTTCTGGGCTCCACGGGCTCCACTTGTCGCTGCGCACGTCCCCGGCTCGGATCCGCGCCGTGTGCAGAGGTCGGGGCTCCGGGCTCGGAAAGTCGTATTTGTCGTCAGCGTTGCTGGACACGGAGATCTGCGCGGACCGGAAGTGTCCGGGAAACAGGAAATCCGCAGAGTGATTGATACCTCATTTAAATTAACTGATAACTAAAAATATCTAAAACAATAAATGAATCAATAAAATGATTAATATTTTAAACAATAATTAATCGATAATAGATAAATTAATATTTATAATCAGTAGTCAAGAATATTTAAAACCATACTTAATAGAAACATTAATATTTAATATAATCATTAAAGTAACTAATATTTAAAAGGATAATTAACCAATAATTACTATTTGATGCATAAGTGAATAAATACACTTTTAAAATATAACCAGAAACCGCCGGGTGGATGCACGGCCCCAACCAGCCTGGACTGGTGTAAGGTGCTGGGTGCAGGGTGTTTAGAACAGGCACACTGGGTCCCCAGCACTCCTGGAGGGACTCTCCTCATTGCCATCTCATGCATACGCATGACGGGACACGCATCTCATTAATGCCGGGCGCATCATGGGAAGGGGCGTGGCCGGTCAGCCAAGGCCACTAACCCCAACCCGTCAATCAAAGGGACCCACCCAGGCCTGTTGCCTTAGCGATCAGTTCCTCCTCCAGGTCCTGTCCAGACATCCTGGATCAGTGTCTCGGCATTGCAGGAGCCACCCAGAAAAGTCTGGATCAGTGTCCAGGCATAATTAATCGATTTTGCAGGCCCCACCAGGACAGCCTGGATCCAGACATAATTAATTGATCTCGTAGGACCCATCCAGCAAAGGCCACATCAGTGTCCAGGCGTAATTAATCGATCATGGCCCGAGTCGCCCGGAATTCTTCCTGTATTATTAGACCTTGCGCACAGCACCCTCGGGGCCAGAAGATCACACTGGACTTTCAGGAGAGTGTGGGGGGTGTGCACACCCGAGTCAGGCTCACACTTACCGTGGGATTTCTCCTGCCTGGGTCCACATTCTAGGGAAGGAAACATAGAAAGTCATGACTTCAGGAGGACTGTCCCACTTGGGTGGCGGTCTCGGGAGGATTTTCCACCCAGGCTGTGGGGTATCAGGAAGATGATTGTCATCCGCACACCGACCTGTCGCTGGATGTCCAGCTCGTACTTGAAGTCCCAGAAGGACAAGCGCGCCCAGGTCCGCGGCCTCCGCCATGTCACGCGGCAGTGGGATGCGTTGCAAGTCACAGTGATGTTGTGCGGTGCACTGAGTCGCTCTGTCAGGAGAATCTCCCTGTAGTTTAACCTGAAGAGATTCCACTGCATTTTCAGATGGGTGTGTGTCAGCGGGCAGCTGGGGCCGTGTGTACGGTGCTGGGACTGAGTTCAGAGATCCCAGCAACCAAATAAAAACCGAGGTGCAAACCCTCGAGTACTGGGAGTCAGAGGCAGGCAGATTCCTGGGACTCAGTTACCAACACGCAGATGGGAATAGACTCCAGGACTGAGTCTCAACGCTCAGAGACCCGGGTACCTTGGCCTGCCCAGTACTGAGATAAGGTGAGTGCTCCTTGCTAGGTCACATTCAGGATCATGCTTAGCAAGCTTCTTATACAGGCCAGGATCACCTAAGTAGGGGATGCTGCTGCGCACAGTAGGACTTCCCAACGTGGGCGGGGCTTCCCACAGCAGGGGCTGGCGGGCGGGGCTTCCTGGTGGGCGGGGTCTCCCGCGGCCCCCCCCCTCACCGATCTCCTTGGAATCCAACATGGCGTCCAGGAACTGAATGGCCTCCCGGCGGCTGGTTCCATTCAGCAGGACGTAGCTCTCGCTGGGTAACCCGGACAGGTTTTGCACACGGCACCCGGTGTGGACAACTGAGTCTCCGAGGTACTGGGGACATTCCCACTCTGTTCTTTCACTGCAATGACGCACAGTGTCCCCAACGGAGCCGGAAAGGCGGGGAGAGCCGCCCGTGTGGGGTCCGTGGGGAGGTGGGGGGAGGGGTGGGGGTCCGTGGGGGGACGGGGGAGGGAGGGTCCGTGGGGGAGCCCGGACCTCAGGTCCTTGATGTACAAATAGTACTGAACGTCTGGCGGCGCCACAGGCCCCGGTTCCCACGTGCACATCATGACACTCGCCAAGTGGATGGAGCAGGACAGGTTCTGGGCCGCCGTCCCGTTCGCACCTGCGGCAATGAAGAGAAGCGTGACGTCACGCATGACATCAGCAGTGATTGACAGCCGACGGAATCGATGGTCAGCGGGGACCAGGCTCTGCCGGGGGTCATGTGACGTGGATGAGGACGATGGGCGGAATCCCCGCGTCCATCTGTCATCAATCATCTACCATCACCTGTCAGTCATCTGGGATCTATCAGTCTGCCTGTCAATCTATCATCTATCAGTTTATCAATCACGTAACCCTCATCGATCTGTCATCTATCCATCCATCTATCACCTGTCATCTATAACCTATCATCAGTCTCCCTATATATCTATTGATCACCTATATATGTATCTATGACCTATCAATGGCCTATAATCTATCAGTCTGCCTATCATCTATCTATCTATCTATCATCTGTCCATTAAGATCTATTAACTGTGTATCTATCATCTATTATCATCTATCTATCCATCTATGAATAATATATCATCCATCACCTATCATGTATCT